CCACCCCCACCCCCCCAAGGACCCTCGTGGAGGACGTTTCTGTGTGGAGTGCTGGACGGGTGGTTAAGAAAGAAAGTGGCATAATTCTTGGCTCCATCGATTTTCCCCCAAGAAGGGTCCAGTGGCATCCTGCCCTGCCCTGCAGATGGTGCTCAGCCTGGCCATGGACTCCAGAGAGGATGGGGACAGCTGGATGGAGGAACAGTGGGAGAAATGGTACAGTAGTGATGCAGCCGTGTCCCCTGCACGGCCTTTTTGCGATTCTTTTTTTAATGTTATGTTGTGTTTTGGGTGGTTGTATACATACGTGTGTTTGTGTGTTTAGTATTTTAGTTTTTTTTTGTTTTATTTAAATCTTTAGTGTGTTTTTTTTAGTCTAGTATTGTTTGCCTTTATTTCTATTAAATATATATTATTTTGTTTTTAGTATTTATTTTATTGTATTGTATTATCTTGTATTGTATTGTCCTGTCCTTTTGGTGTCCTGTCCTGTTTTGTTTTTATTTCTTTTATTCTCTTTTTGTGTTTTTTTTTCGTAGTTTTCTTGTTTATTTATTTATTTATTTTGTTCTTTTTTCCCCCATTTGTTTTCTTTCTCTTCTCTCTTTCTGGTGTGTTTTGGACTTTTTTTTGTTTCATTTCTTTGTTCTGTTTTGAGTTTTTCTTTTCTTTTCTTTTCTTTTTTTATGTCCTGTTATATTCTTTTTGGTTGTCCTGTTTTTTTCTCTCTTTATGTTGTTTTGTTTTGTTTTACATTAAAGTCTCAAATGCTTATTTTTTTTATGAATGAGTGAATGATTAAAATGGCATCTATGATTTTCTCATTTTTATTAAATCAGTGTGCCGCCAGTGCACATCTGAGTGAACTGATCAGCATCCAGCAGTGTGCTGGTGTTTATCTCAGGCTGGCAGTGTAGTAATGCAATAGAGCTGATGTGAATGGCGTCCTGTGGGAGCTGTGCTAATGAGGAAAGAGCTCTCAGCTCCTGTCCAGGTCAGCTAATGTCTGCTCTTATAGAGCATAATGACCATGGAGAGACTCTTATCTCTGCCTGTTTCTCTCTCTTCGTCCTCCATTTTCTGCAGAGTCCCGCAATGAAACGGATCTCCTCCAAGTCAATAACACACGTTATCTGCAATCGCCCCACCGCACAATGTAAAATAAGAGGACGCATATATGATCCGTCAATAACATGCTTGTTTTTCCATTAATGAAATGCAAGAAGATCTGAATCTAATTAACATGGTTTAGGAGGAGTTCCTAATGAACTTTAATGATGCAATATATATCACAGGAAGCTTTCCAGATATTTTCATCTGGTTATCAATGCCATCGATTCCCAGCAGGCATCTCTTCACCAAACTGGCCTGCACTTGTGTGGAGGTGGCAACTTGAGCCGCATTGATCTGGACCATCAATCACTGGGGTGGCAAACCCTTTTAGTGGAGACTACCCCCCCCCCCCTCTCTCTCTCTCAGTCATCCGCTGCTGACTTTAATGGCTCCATTGGAGGACCCACGCAGAGGTCCAGTGGCATCCTGCCCTGCCCTGCAGATGGTGCTCAGCCTGGCCATGGACTCCAGAGAGGATGGGGACAGCTGGATGGAGGAACAGTGGGAGAAATGGTACAGTAGTGATGCAGCTGTGTCCCCTGCACGGCCTTTTTGCGATTCTTGGATCAGCTTGTGTGTTCTGAAATAGGCCAAAATGTTAGTTTGGTGTGCATGAAGGAAATATATGTAGAGTTATGGATGGGACTGAATGAGATGTGAAGGTTTTGTAATTTCATGTGTGTGTTTAGTGTTTCTGATCTAAAATTAGGCTTGCTTTGAGTCTTTTGCATGGTACAAAATCATAATCAAAAGATAAAATAATGACTGTGGTCTGCAAAAAGAAGCTTATAGTTCTACTAGGTTCATTTGATTGACTAAATTTATGTTAAATTGTCTTGTTCATCTCATCAATTTAGAAATGTGGCGGCTGCACAATTGCAGGTATATAAACAGGAAGCACTGCAAATTTAGTATGTCGGAGTGCTTTTAAAGCTTAATTTATCAGTAAATGGCTAGCTTGCAGACAGAGGGTATAAGAATACTGAAAAACAACTTTATTCAAAACATTAGGTAGAGTAAGAATGTTGTTGTCATTAAGCAAGTTCATACAATGTGTTAAATCAGCATTTAGCATTTACATTCAGGAAAAAACAGAAGAATTGTTTGTTTTTGCTTATGCTTTCTTACAACAGATTTCCATATGCATAACTTGCATAATTCTGAATATAACCTTGTAATATTCTTTTATGTAAATTTGTTTGTATAGACATATAAATTGATTTAAAGGTTTATTAAATAGACTTAAAGTTAGCAGAACACCAACTGATAACTCCAGGATTACATTAAATGACTAAAAGAAACTACTTTAAAAGAAAGTGTGTATATATATACATACATACATAAACACACACACATGTTGTTATTTTATTTACATTTTTATTTGCATTTATAGATCAATGAGTAATACGCCTAGAAGTTACAACATTGCAGTAGTCGTGAAGTTATCAGATGCGCAGGCAAGCCGTGCCCTCTCTGTGTATGACTGTCTAGCGATGGCCTCGTGGAGGGATGACGTAGTGTGTCACTATCTGTGTGGGTGTGCTGGCACTTTTCAGGTTAACCCATGACATCAGTCTGAATGAATACGAGGATGACGACCTGTCAGAAATGACAGAAATCACGGATGAGAATGGAATCACTCTCAGCCAGCTCGACCTCGACCCTAAAGTAAGTCTGTACCCTCAAATAAACTTACTGTACAGATTTTAGTCTGTTTTCATAGCTGGCATTTTGGGGTAAACATACATTTTCATACACTCTCAGAAAAAAAGGTACAAAAGCCCCCACTGGGGCAGTACCTTTTCAAAAGGTACACTTATGTACCTTATTTACCCCTAAATTTGTAACTTAAAGGTTCATTTTAGCACCTAAATGGCACATATTAGTACTTTTTTTGAAAAGGTACTGCCCCAGTGACTTTGTTTCTGAGAGGGTATTATTAATTTAGGTTATTTTAATTTAAATATATTTACTTGTATATTTAAGCAATATATTTATATGTAATTTTGACCATTTATTTTGTTGGTGTATATATATATATATATGTGTGTGTGTGTGTGTGTGTGTGTGTGTGTATACTGTATATAAATATATATATATATATATATATATATATACTACCGTTCAAAAGTTTGGGAACAGAACGATTTTTAATGTTTTTTTAAATTAGTTTCTTATGCTCATCAAAGCTGCATTTATTTTATCAAAAATACAGGAAGAAATTTAATATTGTGAAATATTATTATGATGTAAAATAACGTTTTTCTATTTTAATATACATTCAAGTCTAATTTATTCCTGTGATGCAAAGCTGAATTTTCAGAATCATTACTCCAGTCTTTAGTGTCACATGATCCTTCAGAAATCATTCTAATATGCTGATTTATTATCAGTGCTGGAAACTGTTGTGCTGCTTAATATTTTTTTGGAACCTAAATCAGCATATTAGAATGATTTCTGAAGGATCATGTGACACTTTATACTGGAGTAATGGCTGATGGAAATTCAGCTTTGCGTCACAGAAATAAATTATATTTTAAAGTATATTAAAATAGAAACCATTATTTTATATTGTAATACCATCTTGCAAGCTTACAGTTTTTTCTGTATTTTTGATCAAGTAAATGCAGCCTTGATGAGCATAAGAGACTTCTTTAAAAAACATTACAAGTCTTACTGTCTAACTGAATATATATTGTGGTGTCAGGGTTTACTCTAATTTTTGGGAGGTGTGCCAAAGCACCACCTGTACATGCCTATATGGGTTAATTAACATCTGCTCTGAGTCTGCAGCTAATCTCCAGTGGGCTAAAATCCAGGTATGAATTTACAGCTCACTACATTAGACTAGTTCAGGAGTCAAACCTTACACTTAACTTTAGATTTATTTACAACTACAAAATAATTTTATGTAGAAAACAAAAGATAATGTTAGGCAAACATCAGTCACCAACTCTCAGTGTGTATAAAGGAGCAGCTTGGACATTCTGTAAAACATTTTCTTTTGCTTTTTATGAACAAAAAGTCAAACGGGTTTAAAATGACATGAGGGTGAGTAAATGATGACCAGAGTTGACTTTTGCATGATCTATCCCTTCCATTTTTGACCTCCTTTGTGTCCTCCTTTCATTAAAATGACTTTAAAGAGTATGGACTATAGTACTAATCACAGTTATCTTAATTCAGAAACAGTAGATGTCAACAGGCGGTCCTAACCACAAAGTAAAACGTGTATATGTGGTTTATCTCCACCCTAAAACCAAACAGTCACTTATCTTTCCATGAGACACAGTCTGGAACTGAATGAGGAATCATCTGACAGTGCAGAGCTTGGCGATCTGTGTCCAAATATGTGTATAGATTGAGAATTTTAGTATTCGTATGAGTGAGTGAGTGAGGTCACAAGAGACTGTTGTGTTCAGAGCCAATTAGCATAGCAGTCACTTAGCATTAGCATTTGACATGAACACTGAGGGAAGCTGTCAAAGTCAATCACATCTGACTTTTTCTCATTTAACCACTTAAAAATCCCTCATGTATAATTTCACAACTTTTTATGTGATTATTATCATCATACTATATAAGTGTTTATGCTAGAAAATCTATGTTTGAAGACAATAAGGCGGTTTAGAGTAATTGGTTTGACAGAGAGAATTTATAATGTTCAGTCTCATCTGGTGGTTTAACATTGATATCATTGTCTGACCGCTTAAATAAAAATCCATAATTTATGATTTCACAACCTTTTTATGTGATAATTAGCACTGTAAGTGTTTATGCTAAGAAAAGCTGTGTTTAATGACAAGGCAGTTTAGTATAATGACTTTGACAGAGAGAATTCAAAACATTTTAAATGACATCAGATGATTTATCATGATTATCATCATCTGACAACTTAAACAAAATCCCTCATTTAGGATATAACAATCTTTTTAATGTGATAATTAGCATTGTAAGTGTTAATGCTAAGAAAATCTGTGTTGAAAGACAATAAGTTTCAGCATAATTGGCTTTGACAGAATTTATAGCATGTTCAATAACATCTGTCTGTTTACCATGGATATCATCAAACCACTATCAACAAAAATCCTTCATTTTTGATTTCACAGCCTTTTAATGAGATAATTGGCATAGTGTTTATGGTAAGAAGAGTTGTGTTTAAAGACAATAAGGCAGTTTAGTGTAATTAAACATGTTATAATCTCTCTCCTCGTCATTTCTGGGTGTGTTTATTTTGCTTCTGTCGTGTGACACGCCTCATTGTTCTCTGGGATTGAATTAGCTTTCCTTACAGCAACCAGGAAGAGAGCCACAGACTGATGTCATCACCGCACTCTGATTGGTCGGCTGCGTCTGACTGCAGCTCCTCTGCTCTAGCCTCTAAAACTCTGCTGCCTGCTCTTCCCAGGATCACATGATTCAGCCAACCAATGGTACGCCGAGGAGCGGCCGGAGGAGGAGGGTGGTGGAGCTGCAGACGGAGATGCTCCACTTGGACCTGATTGATGCAGAGGGAGGAATCTTTGAAGAAGAGGAGGAAGAGGAGAACGAGAGGCCGCCGGTTGATGCCGTCGATGACAACCACAAGGAAGAGCAGGGCGCAGGGCCGCCTGTCACTCAGCCTCAGCTAAAGGATTTAATCCCTGCCGTCGCCATGGATACATACCGGCCCAAGAGACCCACCACCCTGAATCTTTTCCCCCAAGTGCCAAGGACTCAGGTGAGACGGACAGTTTTGGCAGCGGCCTACAGTCTTTAAGAGGCTTGTGATTACATCCGAGGCAGATGGACAGGGATTAGAAATTGTTTTACAGTAAAAGTGATGATTACGAAAATATAACGAGGTGGGAGTAAAAACCCTGTTTTTTGGATGTCGTGTGGTGCTCTTTTTGAAAGGGTTGTGATTGACATTTTTGGGCTAGCTACTCTAGATAACTTGTTGATCTATATATCATGTTAGAAGAGACGAACATGTTGAGCATGTTGTCTCAGTTTTTAACATTATAAATGTGTTAAAAAGTGTTATTACTTTCTTATTAGTGTGCATAATCTTACCTAGTGTTGTTATTGTTCAATCAAAGTAAAACTATTAAAAATAGTTTCTGGTAATTGAAATGAAGCTTAAATAAAATAAATATTAGATAAAAATAAAGTAGTTAAAAGTCTTTAAAAATAATTAAAAAAATAATTATAATAATAATTCATGCATTTAGCAGACGCTTTTATCCAAAGTGACTTACAGTGCATTCAGGCTATACATTTTTACCAGTATGTGTGTTTCCTGGGAATCGAACCCACGACCTACAGTAAAAGTGATGATTACGAAAATATAACGAGGTGGGAGTAAAAACCCTGTTTTTTGGATGTCGTGTGGTGCTCTTTTTGAAAGGGTTGTGATTGACATTTTTGGGCTAGCTACTCTAGATAACTTGTTGATCTATATATCATGTTAGAAGAGACGAACATGTTGAGCATGTTGTCTCAGTTTTTAACATTATAAATGTGTTAAAAAGTGTTATTACTTTCTTATTAGTGTGCATAATCTTACCTAGTGTTGTTATTGTTCAATCAAAGTAAAACTATTAAAAATAGTTTCTGGTAATTGAAATGAAGCTTAAATAAAATAAATATTAGATAAAAATAAAGTAGTTAAAAGTCTTTAAAAATAATTAAAAAAATAATTATAATAATAATTCATGCATTTAGCAGACGCTTTTATCCAAAGTGACTTACAGTGCATTCAGGCTATACATTTTTACCAGTATGTGTGTTTCCTGGGAATCGAACCCACGACCTTTTGCGCTGTTAATCCAATGCTCTACCACTGAGCCACAGGAACATTAAAAAGTTCTAAAATGCATTAAATGTCATAATATTATACAAAAAAGGTATTAAATACTATAATGATATAGAAATAATATAACACTGATATTACTTTTTGAGTCTTCTTTCCATAGGCGGAGCGTGTGTAATGCTGAGCCTTCCCCTGGCCACTGAGTCTTGGGGCAAAAAATCCCACAAAATTGACAAAAATGCCCCTGCACAAACAAATTAAATCTATTACGTATGTTGCTAACAGAGTATAAATGAATAGAAAGTGTCGACTGCGCATTAAATTAAGATTTGCACATGTTTTTACAGTGTTGCGCATTTTAACCAATCACACACGGTTCTGTTGAGCTTAGGAATGCAATGGCCAATCAGAGGCGTTCAGATCAGTCATCGCTGAAACTCATCAGCTTTGTTGAATGCGCGCGCGTTCGCTGACTGAATTCCGCGAATTCCCTCATCATAAACAACTAAGCGCAGATGCTCGTTCAATGTAAGTAAGGGATTCATTTCGCAGTGTAGACAGCTTCAGTGGTTATAACATAGGTTTGTTTTTTGACAGTGCGATAGATCAAAGTTAGTGAAAATGTCATTTCTGTACATAATTTATTCGCCGTTTGAATAACCGTGGAAAGGAAACGTTATATAATTATCAATTTATAATGTTTTAATTAAATTGTAATCACATTAAATACAAATTCAGTCCCATTAAACATTTTATTAGCCTACATGACAC